GACAAATCCTCTGAAATGGAAATGAGGACAACCACTCCATTCACAATATCTTCACAAAAAATAAAATACTTGGGAATCAACCTAACAAAAGAGGTGAAAGACTTATACAATGAAAACTACAGAACCCTAAAGAGAGAAATAGAAGATCTTAGAAGATGGAAAAATATACCCGGTTCATGGATAGGCAGAACTAACATCATCAAAATGGCGATATTACCAAAAGTTCTCTATAGGTTTAATGCAATGCCAATCAAAATCCCAACGGCATTTCTTGTAGAAATAGAGAAAGCAATCATGAAATTCATATGGAAAAATAAAAGACCCAGAATAGCAAAAACAATGCTAAGCAGGAAGTGTGAATCAGGCGGTATAGCGATACCAGACTTCAAACTATACTACAGAGCAATAGTAACAAAAACAGCATGGTACTGGTACCAAAACAGGCAGGTGGACCAATGGTACAGAATAGAGGACACAGAAACCAATCCACAAAACTACAACTATCTTATATTTGATAAAGGGGCTAAAAGCATGCAATGGAGGAAGGATAGCATCTTCAACAAATGGTGCTGGGAAAACTGGAAATCCATATGCAACAAAATGAAACTGAATCCCTTTCTCTCGCCATGCACAAAAGTGAATTCAAAATGGATCAAGGAGCTTGATATCAAATCAGAGACGCGCCGTCTGATAGAAGAAAAAGTTGGCTACGATCTACAGTCGGTGGGGTCGGGCTCCAAATTCCTCAATAGGACACCCATAGCACAAAAGTTAATAACTAGAATCAACAAATGGGACTTACTCAAACTAAAAAGTTTTTTCTCAGCAAAAGAAACAATAAGAGAGGTAAATAGAGAGCCTACATCCTGGGAACAAATCTTTACTCCTCACACTTCAGATAGAGCCCTAATATCCAGAGTATACAAAGAACTCAAAAAATTAGACAATAAGAGAACAAACAACCCAATCAACAAATGGGCCAAGGACCTGAACAGACACTTCTCAGAGGAGGACATACAATCAATCAACAAGTACATGAAAAAATGCTCACCATCTCTAGCAGTCAGAGAAATGCAAATCAAAACCACCCTAAGATACCATCTCACTCCAGTTAGATTGGCAGCCATTATGAAGTCAAACAACAACAAGTGCTGGCGAGGATGTGGGGAAAAGGGTACACTTGTACATTGCTGGTGGGACTGCAAATTGGTGCAGCCAATTTGGAAAGCAGTATGGAGATTTCTTGGAAAGCTGGGAATGGAGCCACCATTTGACCCAGCTATTCCCCTTCAGTTTCTTGTTTATATTTAGTGAATGGTGTCTTAAGAGGTGTTTTCTTCTAAATTACAACAGCAGGATTATATGGCTTTCACCTGTTTTTATTGTGGCTTAAAATGTATTGAAAAACTCTGAAGCCTTCTTTAGCAGAACAGGAACACTGAAATGGTTTCTACAAAATCACTTAATCCCATATAGGAATAATTGTTATGCATCAGGAGTCACAGCAAATAAAAGAAATTGTCAAGGTCCTCCCTTGAGCCAAAAATATTTTTTAATTAAAAAAAAAATAAAAGAACTTGAAAATGGGGTTTCTGTGGTTGAGCATATGTCTAGCATGCTGTGAGGCCCTAGGTTCAGTCTTCAACACACACACACACACAATCTCAAAGAAGAAACATAGAGGGCAAATAAAGCATATGAAAAGATGATCCACATTGTATGTTATCAACAAATTAAAATAAGACACCACCGTAACACGTAGTAGACTGACTAAAATTCAGAACAATGGCAACACCAAATGCTGGCAAGAGTGCAAAGCAACAGGAACTCTCATTCATTGTTGATGGGAATGCAAAATGGTATAGGCGCTTTGAAAGGTAGTATAATGGTTCATACAAAACTAAATATATTCTTACATTCAATCCAGCAACTATAATCCTTAGTGTTTACTTAAAGGAATTGACAAAAATGCCCAAACAAAAAAATCTGCACATGAATATTTCCAGCAGCTTTATTCATAATTGCCCAAACTTGAAAGTACCAAGATGTTCTTCTGAAGATAAACAGAAAAACTGTAGCATGCCCAGGCAATGCAATATTATTCAGCACTAAAATAAATAAATTATATTCAAGCCATGAAAAGATAAGGAGGAAACTTAAATGCATATTACTAAGTCATAGGATCAATCTGAAAGGACCGCACATTGTATGATTCCAACTATATGACATTCTGGAAAAATGTCAAACTATGGAGCCTAAAAGGATTAGTGGTTGCCAAGGAATTAGGGGAGCAAGGGAAGAATAGAGCACAGAGGACATTTAGGGCAGTAAAATTATTCTTTATGATACTACAGTCGTGGATACATGTCCGTATACATTTGTCTAAACCCACAGATCATACTCCACAAGTGTCGGGAGATGAATTTACGGAGCACAGAGAATTTTCTACTTCTTTTCCCTTTCTTCCCCCGCACTGAATGTGAGTTCTTATAGGCCAATGAGATCTCAGTCTATTTTGCTTATTGTTTAATCCCCAGTACTTAAATGTGTCACACACATAGTAGGTGATCAACCAGTATTTTTAAAGAATGAAAGTATGAATAAGTGAGTAAGAAAACTTATTTAAAAGCAGTGAATTGCCATAGTGAAGGCCATTGGTGTTCCATTCAGAACTCTTTGGATTCCTCTCATGAACACTGGGTGTCTATCTCCAGCTTTGGAGTTCTTTGTTGCTAAAGGTTCATACCTAACAGCCTTCCTTAGAGAACTCCCTGGTTCCAGATCAAAGGACTAGAAATGCCTGGGAGTTTATATCCATCCAGGAAGGACCATTGTCAGTGTCTGATACAGGACTATGAAAGTCCAGCTCCCTTGCCTTGAGTGAGGACAAACTTTACAGTTCACTCCACACTCTAGAACTCCCAGGGGATTGTGTTGAGCCCCAGACTTCTGAAATCACAACCTTAATTGGTTTCTATCTCTTCTTTATCTTATCTTCACTCCTCCCTTACTGCTTTATCCTGGGAGCTCCACCTTAATAAATCACTTGCCCAGGAATCTGCATCTCAGGATCTGATTCTGATGAATCTAAGACACTCTCAGGAACTGGAATTATGAGATACATTGTACAAAGCAATTATGTATTAAATAGTTGATGATTTGAGAAATGGAACCACAAAAAATAAGCAAGCCATTTGAGACTGATATATCTACAGAAGAGGCAAGGCAAACTTTAAAAATGAAAAACTAAATTATTCAAATAAACTCAGTAGATGGTCTAAACAACAGATTAAACACAACTATAAAGAGAATTGATGAAATGAAGAAAAATCTAAAGAACATATCCAGAATGTATTCTGAAAACATAGGGAGAGAGAAAACGTGAAATAAAAGTTTTTAGAAATGAAGGTAGACACTAGTATGGCTGTATGTATAAATGTGGCTGTAAAACCAATGTGATACTGCAATCTGTACAAGTGGAAAAATAAGAACTCATATCCCCCCCCCAAAAAAGATACAGCATAAATGTCTTTCCAAGTCAATAAAGATACTACTATAACATTTAAAAAAATGAAGGTAGAAAGAGATGGTCCAATATCTAGGCTATCAGAACTCCTTCAGGTAAAACAGACCCAGTGGTCTCCCTGCTAGGTATGTACTTATAGAAACTCCTGCACTTATACATTAGGAAACACAGAATATACAAGAAAAATAATAAGAAACATAGAATATACAAAAATATAAGAATATTAATAGTTGTTAACATTATTTACAATAGCTTAAACTGGGAAAAGCTATAATATTCCAAGAGGATAACAGATAAATAATTTATAGAAAATTCACACAACAGAATATGGTATAGCAGTAAAAATACATGCACTAGAGCTATAAGCAAAAACTTGGGTGGATCTCAGCAATATTCATATATAAAACACAAAAGAAAGCAAAACTAAACAGTATGTTATTGAGGGACATGTATATAAGTGTTTTTAGGACAACGAAAATGGTAAATACAAATAAATAATATTTTTTACCTCTGATAGGAGGTCAGGGGGATGAGATCCAAAAGGTACATACAAGTATTGGTAATGTTCTAAATTTTAAGTTGGGTGGAGGGTCATGGATAATTATTTCATTATTCTTCTTCCTAAACTTATATACATGATCTATTCTTTTGCATGTGCCAAATATTATATTAAAAGTATTGTTTGAAGAATCTCTATAAAGCATATGGTATAAATGGATGTTGAAGATGCTTAACATGTCTTTGAAGTCAGACAGACCAGGGCATTAGTTTGGTTCCTATATCTTTGACCTCCCTTATTCTTGGCCTTTGTCTTTGGTTCCTATACTTCTTCTGCCCACTGTGACTTCCACTCCTCAAACTCAGTCCTCAGTTTTTGGTAAGTTCATCCACTCTCATGCCTTTAACTAGTACAGTTGTCACAATTACTAACACCCACAAGAGTGACTACAGTTCTGTCCTCTCACATGAGTTCTAAACCCTAATTAAAATTCAGGATGTTTTCATCTGGGGCCTACCACCATTATTAGATCAATAGGTCAAAACAATGCTTAGAACCTCTGTTCCTAAAAGGTAATGCCCATGAAGCTCTGACTATCACCTGCTGGACACTGGCTTATCCTACAGAGGGAACAGGAAAAAGTCCCAGCTCTCTACCCCTGTGTGACATAGTAAGGAAGTCCCCAACTCAATTGGGATTAAGTCCTGACATTTACACTCAGCTCCTCTTTTCCCCCCTCTTAAATCTTTTCAATCTGAATGGGCCTTTCCTAACAATGGAAGTCTCCTTTCCAGTCTAAATTCACATTCTAGCCACCTTACACCTGACCTCTATTGGTTCAGAGGCACTCCAAGAGCTGTATCAAATGAAAATGTACAATCACAGATATTTATAGCCTTAAGAATCTGATAAACAAGACCAATTAAAAGAAACAGGACCATTCCAACTCCTCCCAGAAGGTGTCAGCTAGCCTACCTGATGTTTTCCAGGGCATTTGTTATCTGTTCTTGCTCAATATCATAGAGTTTCACCTTGAAGCCTCCACTGGCAAACAACATAGCCCAGCTTCGTCCAATGAGTCCACTACAGGGAGAGAAAATTAAGAAATGATTCAAATTAATTTAATAACTGAATGTCTTTTCATTCTTAATCCAGAAGAAACTTTTCAAAATTATACAGTATCCCATTCCTACAATATTTAATAAATCTCTTTAAAGTGCACATCTTGATAACTGTATTTGTTTAAAATGTTATCTGTTTCTACCCAGGAACTCCTGAGTCCCCAACACAAGTGCCAAGATCAGTATTCCACAGGGAATGTGGCGGTATGTGGAGTATTCATCATGTGCTCGTGCACTGAAACAAAAAATTACAGTCGGGAGGTAGCAGGGTGACATGAGGCAAAAGGTCCTTAGTTGAACCCCCATTTGACCACCGTCTTAGGCAAGTCACCTAACTTGAACAAGAGAGATAGTACAGCCAGCCCTTGTATCCCTGGGTTCTACATCTGAGGATTCAACCAACCATGGATTAAAAATACTTAGGGGAAAAAAAAAAAAAGAAAACTACATCTGTACTAAACATGTGTAGACATTTTTCTTCTCATTATTCTCTAAACAATGCAGTACAACCACAAGTTACATTACATTTTACTAGGCATTTAAATTCATTGAGGTTTTATGTAAGTATTATACCATTGTATAAAAACAACTTGAACATCTGCAGATTTTGTTACCATGGGGGTCCTAGAATCAATCTCCCATAAATATAGAAAGATTTTTGAGTGTATTTGCTGTCCTCTTCAAATAATTAACTGCCACCACAACAGCATGAGCATGGATTAGGTGCTGGCACCATTAAAAACTCAGGTCTTACCTCTCTTAGTCTTTATAACACCTTACAATGTATGTACTATCATTATTTCCTCTGAGGCACAGAAGAATTACTTCCACACAGGCTATCCATGCTGGAGCTAAGAGATGAAGCCAAGAGGTCTCTTGAGTCCTTACACTTAACCCCTACTCTTCACCCACTGCTTCAGACTTATTGGAAAATAAAAAGACAAAAGAATTATAAAGAGCACATATGGGATTGTTTAAAGGGTTAAAGACAAATGTACAGAACACATCTAGAGTCCAATTCTTGATTTCTAATACTATTCTCCCATAAAAGAAAGCAGTACTCCTTGGAGAAATGACAAATTCTAGAGCTGAGCCATATAAGATAAGCCTGGAGCAATCTGTAGTACCAGCAAGTAAATGTTAAAAAACAAAAACAAAAAAAAAATCTACATTGATAAGATACATCAAAGGGATACAAGAAACCACTAGAAGTGTGCCCAATGGCTAAAACTGGAACAAATTGAGCCAGTTTTTTTTTATTATAATACAAACTATAGAATACATATTCAAAAGTTCATACTGATAAAAATAAATGTTTGAATAAATAAATAAATGTTGGAAAAGTCACATTTCCCTTGTGGAAGAATTCCAAATAATTTATTTAGCTACACTGTCCTCAGAGAAATGGAACATCATTTTCCACCCTATGCAAAGCAACTTCTTTCCCAAGAGTACAGTGTGGAAAGAGGAAACAAAAGAATAACTTAGCCGTCGAAGAAACTGAACCACTAGCTCAGCCAGGTGGTCAAGGTTAATATCAACAGCAATGAATCATAATGAAAGTATGTCGTGATACCTTGATATGTGATGAGAATGGAAATTTACTTCTGTGGTCTTCCTACCACAACCCCAGCTTAGTCATGAGAAGAACATTAGGCAAATCTCAACAGAGGGACATTCGACAACTACATGACTAGTATTCCTCAAAACTGTCAAGGTCATCAAAAGCAAGGAAAGTCTAAGGAAATGTCACAGAGGAGTCAAAAGAGAAATGACAAGTACAGCAGTCACTTGGTATGAATGAGAGAGAGGTTCTAGGACCCCCTTCTGCCAGCTCAGAGAATGCTCAAATTCCTTACAAAAAATGGAATAGTATTTGCATATAATCTATGTGCATATTCAGGAATCATCTCTAGATGACTTATAATACTTAACACAATGTGAATGCTATGTAAATAGTTGTTATACTATATTGTTTAGAAAACAATGACAAGGAATGTTATTGTTACATGTTCAGTGTAGGCACAATTTTTTTTTGCAAATATTATCAATCCATGGTTGGTTAAATCAACAGATATGGAACTCAAGGATATAGAGAGAAAACTGTAAATGTGATTTGGCATCCTGGAACAGAAAAAGGACATCAGGTAAAAACTATGGAGATCGGAATTTAAAAGGATATTACTTTTAATTAACTATTAATAAACACTATTAGTGGGTGACAATGTAATAGTTCGTTAATTGTAACACATTGTACCATATTAATGTAGGGAAGCTGGATGAAGCAGAACATGTATAGGCATATGTAGGACTGAATGAAGATACAGGGAGAAAATGACCAGTGCAAGATCTCACTTCCATCTCCAGGTCTGAGATATTGAACAGTCCTCTTTTTTGTTGTGAACTGTTAGATATTTCATAAAGGATTTCTAAGTGCATGAGAAAAAAACACAGTAAGTTTTGTACAGGGAAGTGGGGGCAAAGCAACACTTGTCCACAATATGAACTTGTTTTTTGTTCGTTCAATAAGGTAAGCTCTATGCACTGGGAACTATCTTGCTCACCTTTGTATTCCTGGCACATTGTACAGCTTGATAAATGTTAGTTGTTGACAACAAAAACGCTGACATGCCTTAATGACAAACACTAGATAATGGTCAGCAAGCTCTTCCCATGGAATGAAGATGAAGGCAACAGTGATTTACTCCGGAGGTAGGTAAAGAGTGCCTACTATGTGTCAGGCACTATTCTATAGCCTGATGCCAGGAGCTTAGAGTGGGCTATAAGCCTAGTTTATTGTAAATAAGTAAAAGTTCTAAGGAAAAAAAAGAAAATGACAAGAGGGACTAAAAGTAGGAAGTAGAAACTGGGAGGCAGAGAAATTTTATAAGCACTACCAGGGAATGACTCACTGGCAAGGTAATATTTTAGCAGAGTTGAAGAAGGTAAAGGGCCAAGCCATGAGTATATCTGTAAGAAAAGTGTCCTTGGCAGGGAGAGAATGACTGTAAGTCTGATGGGCAGCTTCAGTGGAGGTGGAAGGAGAGGGTGGGTAAGGGATGAAGTCCAAAGGTTGGAAGGGAAGGTGAACTGGTTACATACATAGTGTCTCAGAGACCACAGAGGGATTTAGATATTTACTCATATGTATGAGATGAGTATCTAACAGAATGTTTTATATGAAAGACATGAATTGATTTAAGTTTTAAAAGGAACTTTCTAGTTGTTTTCTTAAAAATACATAGTGCCTAACTTATGATGGCTTGACTTTGTGATGGTACAAAAGCAAAAGGCATTCAGTTGAAATCAAACTTGGAAGTCTGAATTTGGATCTCTTCCCAGGCTAGTGCTATAAAGTCCAAACCTCTTTCATGACGTTGGGTGGCAGCAATTACCAATCAGTCCCATGATCACAAGGGGGAAACAACCAACAGTCTACAGTGCTGTGCTGCTAAGTTATGAGGTTTAGTAGGCTGGAAGTAGTAAGTGTATTTTACACTTCTGATATTTTCACCTTATGATGGTTCATTGGATTGTGACCCCATTGTAAGTCAAGCAGCATATGTACTGAAGAAAGGCAAAGATGGAAATAAAAAGACCAGTTCAGAGTCCAGAGCTTGCTGCAGGATATGACGGTAGGTTGGAAGAAGACAGAAGCAGAAGGGATGATTGGTGGTTAGCTGAGTTTTTAATATATAATATATTCAAGGTATAGCCAAAGAGAATTGCTAGTGGGTTCCATGTAGGGTATGAAAAGTGAAAGAATTGAGGATGATGCCAAGTTATTTTTGGAGAGCAAGAAAGGATGAAGATGTCATTAATTCTATAGGAGAAGATTTTAGGAGACATTCAGGAGTTCAATATAGGGTGTTTTAATTGTGAGATGTCTAACAAATAGATCAAGCAAAACAACTGGATAAAGTCCTCAGTTCAGGGCCAGTATCTGGGCTGGAACATGAATGTGGGGTATTTAGTCATGTGTGATATGTGAGATCTCTAAGGAATGGAGACTTAGGACATTCCAACTTAATGGGGACAGATAACCAGATGAGAGGGTTAGGAAATGAAGAGAGCCTCAAGGAGAAGAGATTGTCCATCTGGGTCAAAACCCAGTAATCAAGTAGAATTTGGACTGAGAATTGGCTATTGGGTTTAGCAGGATGAATGGGAGTGAGGAACCATGATAAGAGAACTTTTTGTGACCTGATGGCAAGGAAAGCCTGCCTTAGGTGGGTGTAGGATAAAATGAACCCCTGGATATAACTCCAGTCTCAAGAATGAAAGATAAAGGAACATGGTAAATAACACTCTAGGGACACATTCAACAAAATCTCACTGGGTTATCTTTCCCCATTAAAGTTGGAGTGTCCTAAGTCTCTGTTTCTTAGAGATCTCACGTCTTGCACTACTAAATACCCCACATTCTTGTTCCAGCCCAGACGTTGGCCCTGAACTAAAGACTTTACTCTGTTGTTTTGCTTGATCTATTTGTTTAACATCTCACAATTAAAATACCCTATATTGAACTCCTGATTATCACTCTTAAAATCTTTTCCTATAGAATTAATGACACCTTCATCCTTTCTTGCTCTCCAAAAATAACTTAGCATCATCCTCAATTCTTTTACTTTTCACATCCTACATGGAAGATTATACAGGACAAATGATTCATGTTCTTCAACAAATAAACTTCAATAAACTTGTTTTTAAAAAAGAGGGATGAGATGGGGCTGTGGTTGTGGCTCAGAGGTAGAGCACTCGCCTAGCATGCTCGTCTAGCATGCGTGAGGCACTGGGTTCAAACCTCAGCACCACATAAAAATAAAGAAATTTTGTCCAGCTATAACTAAAAAATAAATATTTTAAAAAGGGCTGAGAAATCTATAGCTTGGAAGCATCAATAAACAATAGCATCAAATATAACATGTGGGCCTTATTTGGCATCTGAATCAATCAAACTAG